CCCAAAAAAACCCATTTGGTTTGGATTTTTTTAAAAAACCCTGGGTTTTTTCCAACCCTGGTCCCAGGACTATAGCCCTTCTACCCCATCACCCTCTCCCCCACCTCCTCAATCCAGCACTGGAAATAAGATATAAGTATATAAATAAAAATTACATACTCGTTGATAAATTAAAGAACATTTGTTTCCTTATTAAACAATCATTAATAGTAAGTTGTTACTTTATATAAAATATGTCGCCTAATTTTATCAAAAAAATATGAAAGAACGACGTTTTAAAAATATATGCTCTAATCGTATTTTTTTGTTTAAAGTTTTTTTGCGTTAAAAGCTGTTTTCTTTTTTTAACTGTCTCTCCACAGTCCGGTTAACCTTGTTGCGCTTTTTTGTTTGTTTTTGAAATGTTCTCAAAACGACTAAAAAATCTGGCCGGTTTTACACAATTAAAAATTATTTCTGTGGTCAATTATCAAGTGCGATCGCACCGGCTTCCCGACCAAGCCTGTAACCCCCCCCTATATATGTAACCCTCCTCAGTTTATTAGATCTGGACTAAGACCCCTCCTTTTTTGTATTAAGGAAATTTTAAGAGTGCATAAATTTAATAGTGTAATAAAAAATTTCTATCAAGCATTAAGAAAAATATTACATTAATATAATGTAATATTTTTAATGTAATATTTTTTAAAGTAATATTTTAAAAAAAAAAAAAAAATTACATTAAAAAATATTACATTAGAATAAAATAACCTTAAAAGGGGTTTTAAGTTTAAAAGCTTAAAAATTCATTTGAAATTAAAAAAATATAATGCTCAGGCATATTTTAAAAAACAAATTAGCTCAAAAAAATGACGTATTTATTAACGTAGCTGTGTGTTCAACTTCATTTTCTGTTGTTTATAAAAAATAAAAAGTTCAAAAAATAAAGTTTATATACAATACTGAAGTTATTTAATAATTTTGGAATAACTAAAATGATTATAAAATAACTGCACACAAAATATGGGTCAGACAAAATAACTGATAGACGTTGTTTTTTTACTGGACAAATGCCAGACCATGTCCCATGTCTGGCGGCTTTTTCGAGTCCTATATATGTGTATAAATATATATACACACACCAACACATATATATATACAACTCTCAGAATTAGGAAAAATGATGTCAGCACTATATATATATATATATATATATATATATATATATATATATATATATATATATATATATATATATATATATATATATATATATATATATATATATATATATATATATATATATACAGGTGTACACTCAGACTATTGGTTGCTTGCCAACATTTTGAGTTACCAATTGCTATTTTTTATAAAAATTTTTGCATTCAGCAGATTTCTCGCTTTTCTAATCATTTTTCACTATAGCGCTAGGTGTAGACTATAAATAATTTGCGTAAATAAAAGTAATATTGCAAACTATTGATAACATTCACTTTTCTACTTCCAGATAAAACATGTGCCGATATATACGCCATTAGGTTTTTCTCTTATATTGAGCGTTTATTTAATTTAAAAAATATGCGCTCTTTTTTACAACAAAGTAATAACAAATATAAAAAAATAATTTATAAATACTTGAAAACCCTTTGCTTTTAAAGGGATCCCAAACTCCCAACACATGTTGTGTTTATATTAAAGATAATGTTAAAAAAAAAGTTTGAACCAGGTTTTTTTGATTAAAAATAAATAATGAATGCATACCGAGAAAAACTAATGTTGCTGTTTTAGCCGAAGCTCGCCTTCTCCATTTTATTCAATAACTCGGAGTCTTTAAATTAGACATCGCAATCAACAGACTTTAGCAATTCCTTTAAAGCGCCTTTAAATTCATAAAAATTTGACATCACGGTAGACTTTTAACAAATGAAATGTGTATTTACACAAAGCTGCTTTTCTACTTTAATTCAAAAAGTATGATGTAGTTTGTTATTTTTAACATACAGCAAAACAAATTTATTTGTATTATTTTCTAAACATCGCAAAAAAATTTTGTAAAAAGTAAAAACAATAAACTATTTTTATTTTATAGGAGCAACTTATTTTTTACAGATATCTTAATAATTTTTATATTTATATATCTTACTTATATTTCATTTGTTTTTAAATTAAAGCTTTAATTCAAATATTAAAGCTTTACCAATCTTATGATTTTCATACGAGTATTTTACATTATATAGGACGTTTTATATACGTTCTATATAACGTAAAATTAATAATTGTCATTGTGCAAGAGGGTGCAGTATTATATATTCTGATTCTTACTTATTTTTATTTAAACAATAGGAACTATTTTCTAATTTCTCTGGTTATTTTTACGCAATGACATTTTTTGTTTTGCCGTCGAAAAAAGTATTTATTAACAATTACTTTCATTAACTGACAGTTTTAATTGGAGATATTTAATGAATTGTAAACTTTTTTTATTATAAAAATTTGTTGATTACGCTGATTTAATTATTATTGCTAAATTTGCTGAATTGGATACGGATAAAAAAGAAATATCATTTTATTTTACATTTTATTTTTGATAATGAATTAATCTGAGACTATTTTGATATTAATGAAAATTAAAAAAACCAACATAAACAACATTACCAACAACAACTATCAAATAAACAACACAATATCGCATAACTTTAGGGGCTTTTTATTTTTATTGCTTAGTTGTTCTAAATAATAAGTAAATTTAGTTCAAGTTAATATTTTAATATTTACAGTTGCAATATAATAAATAAATGATGTTTAATGTTAAAATTTTTATTTAGTAATTTTTTTTTTACCTTCATTTGTTATAAAAAAACCAAGAATTCTACTTCTGCAATCTTGTTGTACCTGACTGGAAATTTTTTCTGAATTCTATTGTATCTAGCATATCAGTCAATGTCTTTCTAAATTATTTGAATTTTTTCCTGAACTTTTAATACAAAAAAAAACAACTAACATTTATCATAATGGGATTTCTTTAGTTACCCAGCTAGCAAGTGTTCAAGCATTTGTTTTAAATTACTTGTTTTATTATTATTAAAATTATCAGAATAAGGGTCCGCATTCAAAAATGCTTACTTTAAAGTGTCTGAGGTTAAATATTTATTGCCAACCTTGTTTCTATGTTATTAAGATGAAAGATGTGTTTAAGATTATTATATTATTATTATTTTTTTTAGTATCATTTTTATTATTATTTTAATTAAGAGAAAAAAAATAGGTTAAATTTCTCACAAAAAAAGAAAAACGTATTTGTTACATATAAAACCAAAAGAAAAAAGTTCTCACATATCTTTCATGCATCTCTTTTTGGACAAATATTAGAAAAAGTTAATTGTTATTTCAAAATTGAATTTTTATATATTAGTTTTAATTTTGCTGTATTTAAAATATAGATAAGTACAAATTTTTATTAAAATTTTTTTGTAGTAGTTAGAGTTAATTGTTTGATGAATTGCGCCTAAAAAAAAGGTTCTGAAAAAAAATCAAGAAACTGACTAGACTAAGCATCAGTATTGAAACCATGGGGAGTTAGAAACTAAAGTTTGAAGATAAAGTTTTTTCAGGTACATTGACTTGTGCATCAAAAACTATTAAAATCAGAAAGTTTAATGGTTTTAAATCAAGCATAAATTGAATTGACCTGGAATGATTTAAATTCACGATCTTATCAAAAAAATAGAGAATCACAAAAAAAGAAAAGTGATAACAGAACATAACAACATATTTGTTAAGTGATTTATGTATTTGTATGCAGGCTTGGTCGGGAAGCGGGTATGATCGCACTTGATAATTGACCACGGAAATAATATTTAGTTGCGAAAAGCTGGCCAGATTTTTAAGTCGTTTTGAGAACATTTCAAAAACAAACAAAAAAGCGCAATAGGATTAACTGGACCAATGAGAGACTTCAAAAAAGAGTTTAAAAAAAAAGGCGAAAAAACTTTAAGCAAAATAAACACGATTAGAGCAAATATTTTTGAAATGTCATTCTTTTTTTTATAAAATGTGACATTTTTTGTATAAAGCAACAACTTACTATTAATGATTGTTTAATTAGGAAACAAATGTTCTTCGATTTATCAAAGAGTATATATAATTTTTGTTTACATATTTATGTCTTATTTCCAGTGCTGGATTGAGGAGGTAGGGGGGGAGGAAGATAGAAGGGCTATAGCCTCGAGACTTGCAATGTTGGGGCCCGCGAAATAGTCAAGAGGTCCATTTGGTATTTTTTTTAATCATTTTTACACTGTGGCACATAAAAAAGGCCGCCAAAATAATGCAATCCCCGGCCCTGAAAAGTCCAACAAGATTCATCCAATAAAACTAACATTTATAGCTTTGTAGATGTGGCTCCGAGAATTAAAATAATAGTTCGTTTGATAGTATATTCTTAAAACAATTTATGCTAGAAATCTCAACAAAAACATAACAAAATTCAAATAATACAATTATTTAAAATATTTCAACGGAATACTCTAGAAATTTCGGTTAGTATTTTTTGAACCAGTAGAATTAGTTGTTCGTAGATTTGGCGGGTTTTTTGTGTTCGCAAACATTCTTTTTTTATTTTCCGCACTAAGATATTTGAGAACATTCGAGTTTATGCATGCTTCCATGTATGTCCGTAAAACAAAATATTTTAAAATTTACGATAAAATAATGAACTTAATTAAGGAAACATATATAAATTTAAATGTTCTTAAAACGACTAAAAAATCTGGCCGGTTTTTTGCAATTAAATATTATTTCCATGGTCAGTTATCGAGTGCGATCGCACCCGCTTCCCGACCAAGCCTGTGTATGTAGATTACAGATATGCATTAATATATAAAATAAATATCATTCATAACAAGACATAATAACAGATTAAACTTTTACAAACTTATGCATATTATTTTATAAAAAAACTACTTTTTTAGTAGTTTTTTTATTAAAATAACTTGCATATTTAAATTTATTTTTAAATTTACCTGCATTCTGCTACGTAAAACTTGATAAGGATATGTTATAGTAACAGCAATAAACTTTGATGATGCTGCCATTGCAATATATTCTAATGAATTCTAAATGAAGAGTTAAATCAGAGGAGTATTTAAGAATTAACAATTTGTAATAATAAAGTCATACCATTTTGAAAAGAAATATTTCATGCAATTCACAATGTCCACTAAACTAACTTAAACATTTATGACAACATACAAGTTATTGTGTAAATATTTAGTTTATTTTATGGAGATCAAAATACCATCTTAATACAATCATTCTTAATACAACCATCTAATGGTGATTGTATTAAGAATAATATATAAAAATGCTAAAAACATTGAACAAGTGTGAATATAGCTTCGAATATCGAGCAATTGCACATCCTTATTGAAAAAACCTTCATGTGATAAATGATACAATTGAAGCAATGACATCAATTAAAATGATAAATGATTAGAAGTTGTTTAGAGTTATTAAAGTACAGTAGCGTACAAAAGTTTAGTAACACTAACTTTTTTTCAGTTTTTACTGCACAAATTTTTACAAACTTTCTTAAATAAGCTGAAATTTTTACCAAATGTGCTCTATATTATTTCAATTTAAAATATAAACCATAAAAGTAGTAAAATTGAAAGGTTATTTAACATTTTGCTACTTTTTTGAAAAAGCTTCCATGCAAAGTTTAAAAACAGTATCAATTAAATCATGTTTTTGTAATCAAAAGCAAAATTTATAGCCAAAACATTTATGAAATTTAATAATTTAATTACACTGAGATATTTGAAAGACTTTGAAGTATAACTAATTGCCAAAATATTTGTAAAATTTTATAATTCAATTACTTAGCAATATTTTAAAAGCATGGGAAAAGTTAAGTAAGTTTCAAGGGAAATAAAGGAATTAATTATAAAAGCTGTGGGAAATAAAATAACTTACAGGCAGATTTCTGAGCTTTACAATGTTTCTAAACCATGAAAATATTTCAAAACTATTAAAAGCAAACCTCGCTCAGAATTATAAATTTAGACTAAGATGCAAATTTCCAACTGAAAAGACTATTAATAGAATATTAAGAATATAAAAAGAATATTAAGGTATTTCAAAAATAATCCTCACAAGACTGCTGTTAAACGTTATGCATCAGTTTCATGGCACAAACTGTAGCGTACTGCATACAACTAAATAATCTGTATGGCCATCGTTAAGAAACCACTAATACCTGCAAGAAATTTAAAAACCAAAATAAAATTTGCAAAAGATCATATTAGTTGCTCAGTTAATGATTGTTCAAAAGTCCGTTTTGAACAATCATTAACTTGTCGCTGTGATGGTGTTTTAAAGCCAAATAGATATGCCATTAAATACTGAGTGCTTTTTTTAAAACTACTTTATTGTTAAAAAATTGTTATTTTGTGAATTTTAGTAAAAGTTTCAGCTTTTTCAAAAATTAATATTAATCAAGATTAATTATTTCTAAATTTTTGCATGGAAGCTTTTTTAAAAAAACAATTAAATGTTGAATAAACGTTCAATTTTACAACTTTTGTGGTTTGTATATTTTAAATTGAAATAATATAGAGCACATTTGGTAAAAGCTTCATCTTATTTCTGAAAGTTTGTAAAAAGTTATGCAGTAAAAACTGAAAAAAGTTGGTGTTTCTAAACTTTTGCACACTACTGTCATTATTTATTATTAATTATTTGATCACACACAGGTGTAGTTCAGTAAAAGTGTGTGAATAAAAATTTACACATAAAAATTTAGTGGGAAAACAGTATTGTCAGATTAGAAATTAATCTAAAATTATTCCGAATCTTTTGTCAGATTAGGAATAATTAAACGGTGACCTGCCTAACTTTTTAAACAAAACTTTAATTTTGCCAAACATTTCTCTTCAAGATTCCAGTCGTAAAAGGACTAGGTAGTAAAAATAAATAAAATATTAAAGCTTTTCGAATTTTATTTATTACTTGATGAAATTGATGAAAGATTTTCTTATCTGTTGTATAAAAATGTCTTTTGTTTACATAGAAGAGTGCTCTTAAACGTTTTGGTCACTGTGTCGATATTAAAACAGCTTTAGTCATACCAATTGCTATCGTTGAACTCCAGGTTTTGAATACCCAGGTTTTAACGATAGCAATTGATTACAAAAATTTTATTTTTGTAATCAAAAAAACCTCTTTCCCATTGTCTTAAAGTTGCATCTCTTTCTCTTTTCTACAAATACTATCATGGTCACTGCTCAAAGGAGTTATCATCTCTAGTTCCATCAACTAAAATTCATTCTCGTTTTACTCGTCATTCAGCTAAGTCTCATTCGTTTACTGTATCTGTCCCAGCATGCTCTAAAAACTTTTATTCATCTAGTTTTTTTCCCCGCACTTCAATCCTGTGGAACTCTCTCCCATCTTCATGTTTTCCTGACTCATACAACCTTCAATTTTTCAAGTCTTCTGTCAACTGTTTCTTTGCTCTATAACTCTGTTCTTTTTTTTTCCTAGTAACTCCCAACTTAATAGTTGTTGCTTGCAGCCTTGTTGGGAGTGAATGCAAATAATAAAAATAAAATTTTGCTGAGGTTATAACAGCTTATGTTAATCTAAAGAAATAAAAATTTCTAAAGACAAAAAAGTACTGTACTTTTAAACTTAGAAAATAAAAATTCTTTTGAAACTCAAATATCTATTCTATTTTAAGAAATTAGTAGGGTAGAGCGGGCCGAGTTAAGCAATTTTTACTAAATATAACAGATTTTATAAATGGTGCCTCAGAGTTACATAATTTTTTTAATATTTGAAAGATAATTTAACCTCCTAAAATATTGTTAAGAAAAATGTATAGTTTTTGATTTTTTTTAAATATCGTCTAATGTTTGTGGAGCTGCTAAATCTGTCCAAGCGGGGTCTGTTGAGCATTAGTGTGTAATCAACAAACAAATGAATATGCATGGTACAAAACTTGGGTAAATCATCAATAAAACTTTGACTAAAATTAAGTGTGCATATAATTTATAAACTTTTTATTTTATACACTCAAATGACATAAGAGAAGAGAAAAAATTAAATAAGAAAAAACAGCTAAGTCCGATAAATTGGTAAAACAACAACACTTAGGTGATGACAGATAAAAAAAATTCATAAGCAACCAAGAGAAAAAAAAAGTTAATTTTTTTTTTTTTTTTTGTCATGCGATGTGTAGTTTTTGAGATATTTTAATTGCCCAACTTACACTTATGCTCAATTAGCCTTTCTCTACCCTAATCAAAATTTAATTGTATGTGCAATACAGAAAAGTTTTACTATTGGAGTCAAAGACTTTACTTAAAATGTCTTGACTCCGACTCCACAACTCTGACTCCACAGTCCTGATAACTTAAAATACTAAATGAATATTAGCCTTGACAGTTGCCTACACTATTTATGATAAAACAAATCTGTGAATCATTTCACTCACAAAAACTCAACAATCATTTTGTTTAACTTTATTGAATTGTTAGCTTTAGTTATAATATATTTATTTTTACTTAACAATATATGTAAACGTAAGTATATTATACAATACAATATTATACAATATATGTAAATGTAAGACATTTAAATATCATAAAATAATAAGTTTTTGATAATAACTTCAGATTTTTACACTAGCATACTTGAGGTTCTTGATAATTTTTTTTTTTTTTTAATATTTAAGGAAAAATGGCTCTAATAGGTTGCCGACCCCTGATTTAGAATAAAAGTTAAAAAGGCGCTTACTATTATTGGTTAACACTATATAACATTATAACACTCTGTTACAACTTAAAAAAAAAAAAGAAAAGCAACTGTTAAAGTCTAAATGCTATTATGCCATGTTTAAGGAAGATAATTTGCTCAAGTAAAATTGCATTGCTTATATTTAAATCAAAATCTAACTAAAGATTGCTTCTTTCAAAAAAATGGTATGTAAACCAAAAAAAAGGTATGTAAGCCAAAAAAATTGTGTGTTTTTTTTGTATGTTTTTTCAACCCTGTCTCATACAATTATTTAAAGAAACAAAATATTTAATAATCTAGACTAAGGTCTAGATAATACAAATTGAAATAGAAAAAGAAAAGGAAATAAATACATGCAATAAATACAAAGTAAATAAATACAAAGATCTTAACATTTAGATATTGTCTAAGTTATGACTTAAACAAACAATATCTATATGTAAAGAAGATGTCTTGCAAAGATTTTCGGCCTGTATGTTATACACCTTTAATAGGAATAGGAGAGGTGCAAGTTAAACGGTATATGCAATTAGCAAAAGAATACTTGTAAAAAAACTTGTATAAAAACGTACTAGCTTTGAGTTTACAGGTTTTTTTGTAATTTTGCTACGCAATTTTTTAAGTTCTTCATATGACATAAACTGAATAGCTCCATGAGAAACACCAAACAAACCAGGAACAAATCCCTTATAAACAAAAACAGAACATCAAGTTACTTTTGAATATAGAACATATAAATAACAATAAAATATTAGGCAAACAAATAACTATACTTAAAACAAATATATAGCAATAAAATGCAGAACAAACCTTTAACAATAAAATGTAGAACATTTATGAGAAATTATATGACACAAATAAAACATTAACAATATTATTATTAACAAAAAAATATTCAAAATCTCACTCTGTAATAACCACGTATGCCTTCATACATGTACAACTTTTTTAAACCATCTAAAATGAAATAAATAGTAAATAAGTGTAATTTTAGTAGTGTAAATAAGTTATTTACACTACTAAAACTTTTTAATTTGTACTTTTAATTTTTATAAAAACTATTCACAAAGAAAATCAATGAAAAAGTAAAAAATAAAATAAAGATAACTAAAAAAAAAATAATTAAATACCGAGTACTCCAGTATAATACTCTTTTTGCATAAGAGAATTAGTTTCTGGTAATACTTGTAAACACATTCTTGTTTTTATTACCCATATTGGATTTGTTACAGTCAAAGTTGATGCCCCTGCAAGAGTAAAAAAAGAATTATACTTAATTTATAGGTATTTATGATAAAGAGAATTAAATATATTTTATTTCTAGTTTTATAAACTTTTTTTCTTTTTAATTTTCACCATATTAAAACTACTGAGGAGCAAAAAGAAAAAGTTTTAATATCATTGGAACTTGACAAAAATATTTTTATGCTGCTGGCATATTTGTTTTTTGTTGATGTCTTGTTGTTGGTCAATTTGTTTTATTTATGTTTCATTTAAATTTTACAGTTTGTTAAAACTCTTAAACGTGTAATACAAAGTTAATTTTGAATGCTAAAATTTTGAGTAAAAAATTATTTGTTTTTTTTTAGTAATAAAAAGCAGTAATTAAAAATTTTAATTTAGATGGCTTATATATGTTGTGCAAGTAAAAAAGCATTGATAGTTACTACAAAGCATCTTCTAAAAAAAAATTTCAGGTTACAGGGCTTAAATTAACGCAAAAAAATCTAATCACAAAAAAAACAAATTTTGGTAACCCCCCTCCCTTTCATACCTCGCGCTGTCAGGGTTTGCGGAAATGGGAAAGGAAGGGGGTTGCGTTACACTGTTTCATTGCATTTTTATACAGTTTATACACCTTAATAACATAGAATATGTTTATAATAAACCGAAGTAAATAAACAAAATTATTCTAATTAATAAATTAAAAAATTTTTGTCATAAAACTTAAGACCTGTTTTCTGCTAAAACCAGGCAAAAGTATTGTTGGCTCAAAAGTGATTCGAACCACATTTCGAATCAACATTGTGAAGTCTAAATTTAAGCATTTTTTATTTAATAATATATATTTCAAAATAAAATATAATAAAGCAATTGTATAATCTGTTTATTGATGCTTCTTGCCCTGGTTAACCTTTTTAATGACTGATTAAAAAGGTACTTAAGGATATGTAACATTATTTTGATAGCCCCAAAGCGCAGAATATCTAAAAGACCTACAATAAAAACAAAATAAAGATTTGATTTTAAAAATACTTAAATCTTATCCTTTTTGGCAGGGGTGTGGGGTCGCAAAAAAAAAGTAATGACTCCGACTCCAACTCCAGTTGTTGAAATTTTCTGAGCACAACTCCAACTCCGACTTGAACTCCAAAGCAAAATTTTTAAAAAATTCTTTGAATTCTTAAAAAAAAAAAACGCGATAAGTTAAAAATTTCTTTTTTGACAAATTTATGGACGTTCTTTGAGGTTTAGTATGAATATAAGGTTGATTGAATGATTTGTACATGCACGTGCAATACCAAGAAATTTTACTAATGGAGTCAAAGTTGCAATTTTGTTTAGCAACTCTGACTCCGCTAAAAATATCGCAACTCCGACTCTGACTCCAACTCCACAGCCCTGCTTTTTGGAAAGAGTATCCTATTGTTATTTGAATAGTCTAAAGAAACTGAGAGGATATTGTTTACAAAAAAGGTTATGAGTCATCAAAGTGTCAAAAAATGTTTTAACTAGCATTCAAATATCAGGCATTATGGAAAATGAGAAAGATCTCATAATTGAGGATACAGATTTTATATTACTACATTATATTACTACAATTTATTTAATGAAAAAAAAAACTTAGGGGGTAATACTGCATTGTTAAAATAACCTCACTACAAAAAGTTAAATTTTTTTTATATTTAAAAAAAAAACCGAATATTGCAGCGAAATTAATCAAGATCTTATATTATGTCTATATCTTGTTATACCATTGTTTGCATAATAAATCAGTTTTACATATCTTTATCCTTATGCCTTTGATAATAATGCATTGTTGCTTGAAATTCTTTTTGGGCTTTTTTAAATTGTTCATCTATAAACTTATAGTCTCCGTGCTGTTTTAATGGTAATGGTGGTAGAATTCCACATATGATTTCACTGTCATTGTACTTTATAATATCAGGAAAAGCTGGCCACTTAAAAAGGTTCTTGTCTGCAGAAGCATACTTCATACAGCTCACAATGTAACCATCACCGAGAACCTAATGAGTAAAGATTCTAATTTGAAAAATAGTTTGAAAAATCGATATGATCAAATAATGTTTAAAAAAATTTTTTAAACATTGAATAAAAATGAAGTACATTATTTATAATACCAGAATACCAATTGCCCATATAAATAACAACAATCCAATTGTTTTTGTGCCATGCACAAGATAAATCAATGGCAATATTTATAAATCCCTTTTTCAAATTCTTCATTTGCTAATTCTTCTCTACAGAAAAAAAATATATAAATATTTGTACAAACATTTGTACAAATATTTGAATTACAAAATAATATTGAATTATATATTAAAAATAAATATAAAAATTATTACCTTGATCTGCTGTCTCTTCTTCTTTGTTATCCACATTACCATTACCAACATCAATTGGTTGACTCAATCTTTTGTCTTTTTTTAGCCTGCTCCAACGTGAAAATAGTGATCTTAGTTGCTGAGTTGTTACGCATTCTGAGACTTGTAGCTCTTTTCTTATTAAAAGGTGCACTTGCTCTGAGCTAAACTTTTTTCCAGATACTTCACTTTCTATAAAAAGTTTATGTAATTATATCTTTTTGTCTCATACTATACCGGAAGGTACTGCGTGTAGTTTACCTAACCTTTAACATACTTGCTAATGTCAGAGTATACTTCTTCAAATACCTCCTGTTGTGAGTTTGGTTTATAACTATGTAAATTTGACTGATTTGCATCTTCATTATGAAACTCTGTCTCACATTATAAGTTCCTGATTTTAAAGTGCTGATATTGTGCCTTCCCGACATCATGTTCTTCTAATTCTTCTGATGTATGGAATGATCCATTACAAATTGGCTCATAGCAAAAGCCAAACCAATTTAGTGATCTATCTACAGGAAATTTCTTCTTCATATTCTTTTTAAAAACTCGAGTTTTCTTTTCAGTATTAATATATGGGTGTGTTAAAAACATTTACAGATCAAAATTGACATTAGAATATTCTTGTTTAACTCCATTGCCAACTGCATAGTATCGCCACATTGTCACATTTTGAAAAAACTCATACGAATGATATTGATTTATTTTACCTATTTTTGTTCCACTCAACTTGCTTTTGCCTTTTATAGTGGCAACACCAACAGCAGAATTTTTTTTCCCATGGCCATAATGTAAAGCAGTATAAATGTCCTATGCACACATCAAATCGTTACCAGCATCAACAAAGCTACAAATCAATGACTTTGCTCCGGCAGCTTTTCTGTGGCACTGATCCTTGCTACTGTAAAATGTTTTTTTCTTAGTGAAGAAAATGCCTACATGCAGTGACATCCCCTTTTTTCCAAAATATTCCTATTGACCTTCCCGGAATTTGGATGGTAGAACTTTTTGGCAATAGACTTTTTGGCAACCAAAATCCAGATTCCTCATCAAGACTTTCAAAAGCAAAAACTTTGGCATTTTTCTGTTGACAATCACGCATTAAATGTTTTTTTATAATCAATGATATCTTTTTCAGCAATTTCAATATCAGAAATAGTATCCATGTCGGCTGAATTATCTGATGCTAATCTTTTTAGTTCAACTAAGGATTAGTTTAAATTTTCACACTCATAACAAATCATATCATTAGGTGCTATTGAAATCTTTTGCAATTGTTTGTTGGTTAAATCACTCAAAGCAAATATTGGGCAGTGTGAAATAGAATTAGGGTAGGTTGTCCTGCAGATAAACTGGAAGCTAGTTTTGTAATATTGTTTGCTACGTTCAAATATATAACTCAGCTCTCTATTCTTGTACTTCAAAGATTAATCTTGCAGAAACCATTCATACCTGCAGCAGTAATATCATCCAGTCCCGCTAAACATTTTTGTTGAGATGGTTTAACAGCATGAAGTATTCGACACAAACTACTTTTTGATAAAGGAGAGTAATTCTCACTTCTGCAAACTTGATTATAAAATGCAATTGTATGACTCATTTTAGCTGTCAAAACTGCACAAGATATTTTATATACATCATTTAAGCCAAATTTAATTTTTGTAACTCCATATGCAACATTTTAAAGAAGGTACCTGTTAAATATGAAATCGAGGAATTGCTCAGCTTTTTTCTGGTCTAGTCTATTTTACGTATTATATCTATGTTCACATTCTTTATTTTTCGTTCCTGGTCTATCTTATATTTGGAGCATCCGAAAACTTTTATTAGCAACTTCTTAGTAAATTTTTCATGTTCAATCAAACACAGAACAATATGTTTTCCCATAGAGTCACTTTCTTCATAAATTTTAACCAATTTTTTAATCATCAGGTACTACATCATTATCTGAAGCTTCCAAAGATCTATTTAAAACAAATGAGATATAGTCTTCATTCTGATATGGGGCAACAGCTTCAGCAAACCTTTTTGCAAGCTGTACCTTGGCTCTTTCAAATTTTCTTCGTAAATTATTTTTTGTTCCATTGCTGAGATCAGATGTCTTTTTGTTCATTATCTGAAACTGAAAAGGGCTGATGTGGAGTGCTTCTGACAAGTTGTTACCAGTAAATGTTATATTACCAGTAAAACCTTCAACTTTTTCTCTAGAAAGTAAAATTTCATTAGGCTCAAAATCAAAATTAGTTGTGCCTTCAACTAGCTCTTCGTAAGCGGCAATACTTGTTTTAGTTTGATTTAGAATGTGCTCTGACTTAAGTTGATTGTGACAAAATACGGAACCTACTGGAACACTTTTGTTGTAATGCTTTGAAACATTTGTTGACATATTTATTGAAAAACTTCTTACAGCAGATAATGTTTTACCAACACTTAATTGATGCATTGGGCGACAGCATCTTTTTGGAAAAACCCAACCAATACCTTGAATTTTAACAAAAATCAAAATTTGAAATAATTATTTTAAAGTTTTAGTAGTAAAATTTTTTTTTTTGAAATACGGTTGTAAAAAAATTTTTACCAAAGTTAAATCTATGGTAAGGACATATATAGTCGCTATCAGAAATTGATATGCACCCTCGGTTTTCTACAAGTGACTTTTCTGTTCATTTCGTCTCTTGGTGCGCCTTTAAAACCTAAAAAATAAATTTTTGATATTATGCAAAGTTTTTTTTTTTACAACTGCAAAGAGCATTTTTTACTTTAATTTTTACAAAGTGTGCTTTGACATCCAATGTCAGATCTTGTATCTTGAATAAACTTTTTTCCTGTATCTTGAATAACCTTTTTTCATTTAAACGAGGATATGGTCCACACTTGACATAATTAACTTTGCAAACATTTTCAACAACAACCTTTAGCTCTGACATATTTTTTTGCAACTAAGGGTTTTTTTTTAAAGTATATTAAGCATAAAATGGTCATTCTTTGTTCTTAATAATTCAGAAGTAAATGCTCAATAAACCATACTGAATAACAGGCTTGGTAGGGAAACGGGAGCGATTGCTCTCGAATACTGACCACGGAAATTTTATTTAGTTGCGAAAAACTGGCCAAGTTTTTTAGTTGTTTTGAGAACATTTAAATTTATTTACAAAACAAAAAATTTTAGTTTTACAGACATACATGGAAACATAAAAAACTTGAATGTTCTCAAAACATCTTGGTACAGAAAAATAAAAAGAATTTTCGCGAACACTAAAAACCCGCCAAATTAACGAACAAACTAATTCTATTGGTTCAAAAAAAAAATGACTAAGCGAAATAACGGTCTAGTATAGTATAGTATTCTATACTTAGTATTCTGTTGAAATGTTTTAGAAATTGTATTATTCACAATTTGTTACGTTTTGAGATTTATAGCATAAAATGTTTTAAGAATATATATTTTTTGTTTACAAAAATAAATGTTTTAATTATATATTATTTAAATTGTCAAATTTTGAAAGTTTATTATAAATTATAGATTTTATTAGTATATTCTTATTTTTTATGTATTCTTTGTATTCTTTATGTAAATTTTGTGTTTCTGTTTTTTATCGTAATGTATCTTTTAAAGCATTTTTTATACTTTAAACAAAGACTTACAAAAATAATTGCATTTTCAATGAAGTTATAATCATTAAAGTTAATAAAACTAATTATGTAACAAACATATAATAAGTTTCTGGTTACTAAACACAAACAACACATACAAAATAACTCGCCGATGAACAAGCACCACGCCTGAGGTCACGACAAAACACAAATATATAGCAAATAATTAGATATAAAGAAAAGTTTCTAGATATTGGTTTAACAACTCTAATTATTTTCGCTTAAGTTGCCATTCTTAAAACTCGTTATACTTTTTTCTGCTTTAAATACTAACTAAAATTAAAAAGACCACTCACTAAACATCATCAGCAATAATGTGAAGCAGTTTCGCTTCTTAGTCATAAAGTATTTTTAACCTTTTTAGTTGATTTTTATCTTGATAATTTAATTTCTATAGTAATTCAATTATTTAATTATTTGTTTATCGTACTAAGAAAAATTGCTTCAAACATGTTAAACTTTGTTCTAAAATATATTTAGCTTCAACTTTTTTTCGCATTAAAAGGTATTTGCCTATTTTTTTTTTTTTTTGTAATTGTCTCTCATCGGTCCAATTAATCTTTTGCGCTTTTTTTTTTTGCTTTTTAAAATGTTCTCAAAACGACTAAAAAATCTGGCCAGCTTTTCGAAACTAAATATTATTTACGTGGTCAGCAATCAAGAGCGACCAGTCCCGCTACCCGACCAAGCCTGAATAACTGTAAATCAAGAAATAATGCCTAACAATAGTTAATTATGTTCAAATAAACATCAAGTTAAAAATGGTTATAAGAAAAAAACTTTTCAAGTCTACAATCGTAAAAATTATTTTAAAAAAATCAGATTTAGCATCATTTAGACATAAAGTTATTTCAACAATGCAATATTACCCCTTAAGTTTATTTTGCATTAAATGAATTGTAATTTGGAGAAATAGAAAATCTATACATTCAACCTTAGGACTTTTCCCATTTCCCATTATGGCTAATTTTTGAACGCTAGTTAAAACATTTTTTGACACTTTGATGACTCATAATTTTTTTTGTAAACAATATCTTCTCATTTTCTTTAGACCATTAAACTGGGATACTCTTTCTAAAAAAGATACTCTTTCTAAAAAAGAAAAAAATACGCTACAGGTACTTTTTACATTTCGAGTTAAATGTATTTAAGGTAAGCCCCATATTCAAAAATGTGTGATTTCAGCTTATGATTTTCAGGCAAAAGAAGGGTTGTCCTCAGGTTTTTTGGTTGTTTTTTTTAAAGTTCCATAATATAAAAAGAAATTTAGGGTGCAGCGATCTCATTGCTTTTAATCTTAGTTTAAAAATCATAAAACCCCTATAATAACTTTTTAAGGTGTAGTGGTTTTATTGCTATTCTTAGTTTAAAACCCCAAAAGTGACTTTCCAAGTATAAAATGGGGAAAAGTTTGACCGAGCATAACTCAAAAACTAGAAATATTACCAAAAAAAATTACAGGCTTCATTTTATTATTACAAAAAACACAATATGTAAAATTAAGAATGATTCAAAGATATCACTTTTGATCGTTGCCTGGTTTTCTCAGAAAATCACTCTTAATATTTGTGCAAAAACATGCCTATAGAACATACAAGTCTATAATCTATATACCAAACGAGTAGTTCAAAGAAAAAAAATTAGATACCACGTTTTTTATAACTTATTGTTTCTTGATCTAGAGGACTAATAAAAATTCAAGTATAATTAAGTTTTTCATTCAAATAGTTTTTAAATTGATGTTTTCATTAAATTTTTTTATTCAAATTATTTTCGAATAAAAAGTGAAACAAAAAAATTTGGTTTAATAAATTGAATTATATTTCTTTAAATTTAAGAATATGATTAAAAACGTTGAAGCAAGAAAGTAGCTGGTTTCTATAAGCGTTAACTATTAGGAAAAAAATTTAATAAAAAGGAATTAATATATATTTTGATATACTTCAAGTAGTAAAATAAATAATATAAAATTGTAGATGAAATAATAATTTAAATTATTAATAATAAGTTAATATGGTGCAACGTTTTGAAAAACAAAGATAGAAACCAGGCGGTTTTGTTAAAAACAGCCTGGTTTTAATGACCTTTTAAATATCATTGGCTTCCACGCAGAGATTAAAGTAATTTAAATTCAAAAGTGTTTAACGTTGAATGAAAATCTCTGTGCGAAAGAAGCAAAATATCATCTATTAAGAAGATAAATTTATGGCGACATTCTTTGTGACAATAACATACCTTTTAAGAATTGCCAAAAAAAATGCTCATCTAGAAAATAATTAAGTAAACAAAAAAAAAAAAAAACAAAAAAAAAAAACGCGACAATATTTAAAATAAAAAAAACTAATCGCGAAGGTGTGAAAAGCATTTGTGACTTGCAACTGGGATATGCTTAATATCAAATCCTGGGTTATCACAAGTGAGATTTTATAAGCTATTTTCTATTATACAAATTGTTTTTATGTTACTTTTATTTCAATATATCTTGCCTGCAATAAATCCACAGAGAAGATGATAACCAGGAGAAAGATTATCTACTTTTTGGATATCTCTAAAAGTTGATTTAAGATAGTTAAACATGAAAAAATATAAACCCCATGATGATCCGGCACCAGCAACATTAGCTGAAACACCCTAAAAATAAGAAGAAAAATTAAATGTACTTGATATATTGACACATCAACTGAGGGTTTAGGCATTTGAATTAAGCTGGATTGTTTTATATTATTTCATCTATCTGGAGTAAAAAAAAGAAACATTTAATGGTGTTAAATGAGTGAAGTTTAAATTTTTTACTATTTTTAGCATTATTTTTCATTTATAAACTAAAATTCATTATTTTTCAAGTAATATTTAAAATTAAAAAAATCAAAAATTTGATTAAACATTTTTAAAAATATTTCCCGACAGGAAAGGTAATATTTTTTAGGAATACTATATTACCCTGCAGGAAAGGTACTTAAGAATGTTCTACAGATTTGTAAAATACATAAGACGTAGTATAGACATCACATTTAAAAAAATTGACCAGACAATATGTGCACAAACTTTGGAAAAAAGTTTTAAAACATTTTTAAAAACAACTTTGGACTAACCACCAAAACACACTTATGAAAGGGGAGGTATGAGTGAAAGTTTTATATGCAGTTTTATAATAATCAAAAGATACTTTATATTTTTGAGTAACAATTTTTGATAAGTCTAATTTCAATTAGACAAGTTTAACATTATTTAGAACTGTTTAACAACAAACTTTCTAATTTAAAACGCAGTTAGTTTCCAGTCTAACTTTAGACAAACTTTAAAACCATGAGCTAACCTCATACTTCAAGGATATTAGATTCACTAATACTTTTTAGTTAAAAAGTTTTAATGTTTACCAACAACAGCAAATAGGCAAAGCTGCTTGAGGGTGTGGTTTATAAGCTAATGTTGTATTTTTTTTGTATGGTGGGTAATCAAAATCTTAGAAATATTTTAGCAGTTTGACCACTGATTTAGGATCCTTCCTCCTGCTTGTACGCATCTGTATGCTTTGAATGACCAAACAATGCACAAATTTTTCAAAACATTAAAAACAAAAATTCAACATTTCTGTAACATAAAATAATATTATTTTTGTAAACTCATAAAATTTAATGATTTTGTTTAAAAAAAAAATTAATAATTTTAGGAAAATAAGAATTAGTAAAACTCCGTACATAATTGCTGTCTTTAACCCCCCCCCCTCCCTCCCTTGTATACATTTACTTAATTTTAGGTAAGCCCTCACCCTATACCTGCTTCGAGGAAAATAAATTTGGGCAGCAGTACTCCTGGTGCCAGCAAAATTTACAGGAAATATTGCCAAATGTAGGCATATTTTGCATCAAATGGATGCCCAAATATGGTTGGCCCTGTCAAACACAGTCTAGAATAGCCCCTGCTGCTATATTTACTTTATGGAGGACCCTTTAAACAAATGAGACAGGTAAAAAATATATATATAATAAAAATTAGATTTATTCTTCTACATTTTCTTTACACCTTTTTATTTATGTATTTTTTTTATTATATTATTCTTAAAATAATATAATAGTAAAAAATATAGGCATAGGCTTTATATAAAATCTTTACCATTTAAGTATTTCATGAGTTTAACATTTGTTGAGTAGGTAAACTCATTAAAAACTTAAATGGTAAAGATTTTATATAAAGCCTATGCCTATATTTTTTATTATTATATTATTTTAAGAATAATTATAATAAAAAAATACATAAATAAAAATATTACACAACCAGTGAAAAAAAGTAAATTCTGGTTGATTTATCACTATGCACTATATTTTAAAAAACATCATTCTGCATTCTAAGTTCTATGTCTAAAATTTATATTGTATAAAATATGTATTCCATGGATATGTAAAATAAAGTCATTGAATTTAATAGGATAATATTGCACAACAACCTCAAAAAAATTACAGTATTCAAAGCTGTTTGGTATTTTAAAAACATTAGACAAAAGTCTCAAACATTAGTTAGCTGCATATTTAAAGAATCTATTGAAGACATTTATGTTTTTAGAAGACTCACGCACAATTTTTCTAAACCTGTTATTTCAATTTTTCACTTCATTATAGAAACAAATTTTACATTTTTAATGGATATGTATATAACACATTCAAATCTTTTTTATTGTGATTTTTTTTTGCCTATTCTTATGAATAATGTTGGAACTGCTCTAGCTGTTCAGTTGGAAGCTATGTTCCATAAGGTTACATCTCTTTGTCTTTTATATAAATAGTAACATAGTCATTGTCCAAACAAGCTATCATTACTTGTTCCATCGACCAAAAGTTATTCTTGTATGTATGTATGTAACTATAGGTTGCTTGCAGCCTCCCTGCTAGGAGGCTGCAAGCAACTTATAATTAAGAAAGGAGTGAATCTATTTGTTTTTTTGTTGTTGTTTTTTTAAAAAGAAAAAAATATGAGAATATTAAATTTTAATACAATAACAAAACAAAACAATCTAAGAAACTATAAAAAAACAAGTTTTTAGCATAAGGATGAACAAAATTGATAATTGGCTAAGGCATTCTTACATACAAAAAATTTAGTATACCAAAAACTGTTTTCATATTTTTTCTAACAAGATCAACAAAATCACTTTTTTTGCTTTTATTTTTATTTTCAAACAAATGTATTACTGCACTAGCAAAGTTTAGACATTCCCCATTATATTTCTTTCCAGTTGTAATTTGGAAAGACACATAATTTAATTCATTGAAGAAACATCAAATTTTGCTGACACATACATATAGATTAAAAAAACAAACCTGATATAATCCTTGAAAACCATTTTTCTTTATAATTTGAGAAAAAGCATTTAACATACCAGAATAAGTTTCTCGACTCTTTATTAAAGAACCATCATTGACTTAAAAAAAAAGACAAAAGCATTTTTTTAAATTTGAAAAAACTTTATTATAAAAATATTTTAAATTAAATATCTATGTTTGTGTGTTTAAATGAAAAATGAAACTTGTTAACATTATTTTTGGACTAACAAATGAACCTACAAATGTAAAGTACATTCAAAAACTTATTCATCGCAATAGATGTTCTTATATGTATATACCGCCTAATTAAAAATCAGTTAATATATATATATTGAAGCCTTGTCTATCCTTAATTTAGCATGACATCATTAACATTTCATAACATCTAAGTATGCATTAATATATATATATATATATATATATATATATATATATATATATATATATATATATATATATATATATATATATATATATATATATATATATATATATATATATATATATATATATATATATATCTTTTCATAAGTATCTTTTTAACAACCGCTAAAAAAAGAGCACCTGTTGCCCTCTAAAAACTTTGCATTTTATGTACAGAGATTTTTTTTTCCTGTAAAGTTTTGACAAAATGAACATTGTCACAAATTTGCTATCTGAAAAAAGACTGCTGTTTAAAACAGTGTATGCAAGGCAGCTACGGTTATATAATAAGGAATATAAATGCAAGTAAAAAAATCACGTACGATAAATAATACTTAGGGTAAATAGAATTATACTTTTTAAATATAGCGACTATATTTTTGCATGTAAGCAAATCACTTAATATATTACAAATAACTTAATATATGGTAAATTAATTAACAACTTTTGTTGTTAATACCTTGAAATCTAACTTTGATTAGATCAAAAGGATGCAAAACTAATGTAGAGACAACACCTCCTGATAATCCAGCAATCAAATGTTCAATTTTAAGATTTTCAAACCAACTCATCTAATAAAAAAGATTTTATTATTGAATTATCTAGCGTATTTTTTGGATAAATTAAACCAATTTCAGTTATTAATTTGAATGTTAACACCAAATGATTTTTATTAGGCGTAAGTTAGGCAAATTATTTCTGTAAAACTTCACACCGTTGCCGTATAAAAAAAGACCTTGGAATAATAACCTCTAATGTCAACCATTTTAATGCAAATTGGATTTATGTTATTTTTTGGTTGCCTAATGAGTCCATGCAATAAGGGTCGCCAAAATTTCCTTATATAAAAAATGTCCCGGGCGGACAGTTTGTCTGCCCGGGACAAACTGTCCCTTGCGCCAACCCTCGTCCTTCTCGGCAGCCCAGCATGCAATGATTCTAGTTAAATATTTCTTTAAAAAATGTCCTTCAAATTGTCTGTCAAAAAAACACTTTTGTAAAAACATCAATAATCACAAAGGGTTCGTATATGATAAAGGAAAAACTAATTCTGAGACAATTAAATGAGGTGTTTCTCAAAGATATCTTTATATCTTTATCATCTTTAGGATCACTTCTATTTCTCAATTATATAAACAATTTTAATAAATTTTCTAACATTTTAAATACAATTTTGTTTGCAGATGATACCAGCTTGCTTTATTCCAATAAAGATAACAATATAATATTTCAAACAGCAAACAAAGAACAAGACAAACTAACTCTATGGTATAAATCAAACAAATTATCTTTTAATATTACTAGAACAAAATAACTTTATTCCATCCTCTACATAAAAAATCAGTTATTCCCTAAGAACTTCCGGACCTTTTTATTGGTAATAAATTAATAAAGAGAGATTTTCAATAAAGTTTTTAGGCGTGTTTCTCGATGAAAATGTAACCTAGAGGGAACTTATAGATGTAGTTAAAGATAAAATATCAGAATATTTTGGTATAATGTACAAAGCTCAGCAGTTATTAAATTGATCTTATTTAAAAAAACATATACTTTTCTTTCATTCATTGCTACTTAAGTTATGCAAACATTGCATGGTGCAGAACTAATACGACGAAAATAAAAAAATTTGGCTGTAAAACAAAAATAGGTTGTAAGTAAATTTCAAACGTAGATCGTTCTTCACAAACAAAAACACTATTTAATATAATATAATATAAATCAAATGCTGTTTTCTTGTTTTACCAAGAAAAACGAGTCTAACGACAGTAGGTGTTAGACTTTAACAGCCGTTTTTCATTAAAGCGTTTTAGTTTGTTTTTAAAATTATTTACAGAAGTGCATTAATAACATCTTGATCTAATATATTCCAAGCTTGTACAACACGGTTGGTAAAAAAATTATGCCTAGATAATGAGCTTACATATTGTTTTCTTAAATTCTGACGATGCCCTCTCGTAATATTAGTTTTCTTTCAGGTTCGTTATGCTAGTTTATTTTATCTATATTGAAATCTAAACATCTAAATTAGATCACCTCGCAACCTTCTATCAACCAACTGTGAAAGTTCCATATTTTGTAGCCTTTGTTTATAATATATACCTTTTGGAAAACAAAATTTGTTTTCCAAAAAAGTTTAGTTGCTCGTTTTTGGACTGTTTCTATACGATTAATATCTTCAGCGTAGTATGGGTTTCATATTTGTAATGTATAATCTAAGTGAGGTCGCACAAGTTATATGTATAACAGTTTCATAGTATTTTTGTCGATATAGTTGAACGCATGTTTTATTAACCCTAACTTACTATTAGCTTTGTTAACAATAGACTCAATATGATGTTCCCATTTTAAATCATTTGAAATATATACACCTAAGTCTCGTTCTAACGATGTAGATTTTTTCTAGAGGTTCCTAGTTCTTCAGTATTGCACTTTAGTGTGTATTTATTTTTTGGGTTATCATGACCTACCCAGTTAACCAACCCAGCTGGGTCCCAGCTGGGATTGACTGGGATTGAGCTGGGATTTGTTCTGGGATTGGGTTCGGGCTGGGATTTGTTCTGTGTGCCAGATGGGTCCCATATGGTGTAAAAATATTGCCGCAAATAAAGTCTGGGTTTTCCGTAAACTATTTAACTGCGTTAAGTTAAATGTTAAGTTTCGATGACGAAAAAAATGCTTTGATTCACGCTACCATTTAACTTAACTACGTTAAGTTACCATTTACACGCTACACGCTACACTTTTTACACGCTACACGCTACACTACAGATACATTTACATTACAGATACAAAGCATTTTTTTCGTCATCGTTTTTATTAAGAAGTTTTGTTGAAATAAAATTACAAAACTGTAGTTTTGTTATTTTATGTTAAATTTTATTTTTAAATAGTTTATATGGTTTAGTGAGCTTACAGTAATGGCTTAGTGTTTTTTTAATTTTGATGTTTTTTTTTTAAACAAATCTTTGAAAAACCTTTGAATTTGATATGTTTTGTAAAATGATTTTGGTAAATTTTATTTACAAAACATAGCAAAGTTTTACTATGTAGCACTGCCGTACGTAAACTTTACATATTATTTATTTTCACATAAATCATTTAATAAATGGTTTATGTATTTATAAATAATATGCAAGTTTTACATAATTATGAAAAAATTAAAATTATACATAATGTATGATTTTAATTTTTTTCATAAGTATGTAAAACGTGCATATTATTTATAAATGTATTACATTTATTAAATGTAAGATTTTACATATTTTATAAGTAATATAGTTAATATATTTCTCATAGTATAAGTAATATATTATCAAATGTATAACTTATAGAAAATGTTAAATCTTACATTTATATTAGCCTAATATAGTATGACTATTATTGAGTATGAGTATTATTGAGGTTTTACTAAGTGACACTGCTATATATAAACTTTATATATCATTTATAAATGCCTAATAATTAGGCATTTATAAATGATATATAAAGTTTATATATAGCAGTGTCACTTAGTAAAACCTTCTATAATAGTCATACTATCACTTTACAAAACATAGTAATACTATGTTTTGTAAAGTGATAATATTTATAATTTGAGTTATATTATAAATATTATAACTTTAATTTTAATTTGCAGTATAAGGTTTTATATGAAAAAATATTTATATAATTTATATTGTGAATTACTTGTAAATAATAATAACTAATAATAAAAATGATAAACTGCCCAGTTAACCACAACTGGGTCCCAGCTGGAATGTAACTAGATTATTGGAACTGAGTTATGGCTGGGATTTGAAGATGGGTCCCAAATGGTGCAATGTCAATGTTTGTTTTATAACAGACTTGTAAAATGTTTTGTCAAACTGAAGACATATATTTTTTTTTTTTTGCAATAGACAATTGTTGAAAATTTTTTAAATTAGTTTTTATGATTTGGTATGCTAACAGTTATGGCTTAGTCACTAAGTTACAAAAATGAAATACACTAAGTTAGTGTGTTTCATTTTAAATTATCTTTTTCAAGCAAATCTCAATGACACTTTACAAAACATGGTAAGGTTTTACTAAGTAATACTGCCTTATCTAAACTTTACATATTATTTATAAATACATAAATGTTTTACATTTTCTATAATTTATAATATAATACTTATATTATAAATACTGTAACTGATATTATAAGTTATGATATAAGCTTTTGTATGAAAAAATTGTTTAAATTATTTATATTGTGTATTATTTGTACATAATAGTAAGTAATAACAAAAATTATTAGATGTTTTAACGTTTAGCTTTATTTATCTGAAGTAATAAGAAAATTATCACATTTTGTTTGAATATATTTATTTATTAAATACAATTAAATTCTTTGAACTATAAATATTTATATATATATATATATATTTTGATAGCAATATTCAGACATTTGTTTAAGAAACAATTTGGCTAGTCTAAAAGGGGGAAATGTTGAGTTTTAAGGTTTTAAGATGTTTTTTAATTATCACAGGATGTTATATAATTTTTTTAGAATATGTTCTGAAATAAATTAAATATACAATTATAAAATTCTACTCAAGTGCAATATAAAAATCAAAATGTAGTTTTGATACTAAATATTGCAAAAACTGTATCTTTCAATAATCATTAGTGTTATGTATTTTTCACTTTCGCTATAGTAAGTCAATTTCATTGTGTTATTATATGATATCATATAGTCATATATAATATTTTTATTTACAAAGTTATAAAAAAGGTGTCAAATTATTTTGGTAATAAATTTCTTATCTATGTTATTTTTGTAGACAACTTAATTAAATTTTAAATTTTAATAAAACTTTATTATATTTGTTAAAGAGTTTCAATAGTATCTATGTTTTTTTTTTTTTTTTTTTTTTTTTTTTTTTTTTTATTAACAACAGAAAATGCATTACTTCAACAAATGTTAGTTTTTTACATATTATCAAACTATTAGTTTACAGAGTTTGATAAAATAAATAAACAAGGTTGCCACTCAACCTGGAAAGCCTAGAATACCTGGAAATAGCATGAATCCCAGGGAAAACCTGGAATACTCAGGGATTTTCTAAAATCTTCATAAAATTCAGGGAAAAATTTTTTTTTTTTAATTTTGTACAATAATTTTTGTTTTTCAAAAATATTTTGCTAATACATATAATAATAAGTTTGCTAATTGTGGGTGTTGTTGTAAAAGTTTTAGTTTGTCAAATATAAAGATTATGTTTGATTAAGGAAAATAATAATCACGTTGATAAACAAGAAAGAAAATAGAAAAGTCAGGGAAAACTCGCGGAACTCAAAGAGTTCAACTCAGGGAAAAACGTTCTTTACTCAGGGAATACTCAGGGAAAATCTTTAAAAATTATAGTAGCAACCCTGATAAAATAATTTCTGTATATTAAAAACATATAGAATTTGCAAAATATACAGTTTTTTTCTAATATTGATCTGGGCTTCTGTGAATGTAAATAGAAGATGGGCTGTGAATGTCTAGGAAATGTCAATGTTATTATGATAGCACATATTTTTAGAACAAGAATAGTGTGTTTTACATTATTTTCATTAAAAGTTTATGAATATATATGATAAAAAACATTTTTAAAACTACATATACTGTAGTGTGACATGATTTGGAATAAATATACATTTAAAGGATTTTTCACATAAACTTCATTTGGTACCTCAATGGCAGTTTGTTTTTATTTTTATTTTCATTTATCTGTTGATTAGTAGGATAATATGTACTAGTGATAATATTTATATATGGTAAAGCATGTATTTTATTCATGCAATATGATTTAACTACATAACATATTTCAATACATAACGTATTGAAATATGTTATGTTAGACTAATCATGAATATAACTATTATATATAATAATATAAGTACTCTACACTTGTTTATAATTGTAAATTTTCGTTGTGAAAATAATTTTATTACAAAATTTATTGTGGTAAAAATTACAAATGTTTTTAATTTTTTTCAATGTTTAAATTGTAACAAATAATTATTTTCAAGTAATAATGTAACCTAAAATGATTATTGTTTAATTAGGTACAATCAAAATGTTAGTGATGTTGATTATTTTTGCATTTATTAAATTATATAAAAGATATTAAACCTTCACCAACTGATTTAATGGTTTGATGTCAGGTTAACTTGAGTCAAGACTTTAAATTTTAAATATTAACATAGTATTCATGTTATATTATTGTTGTTTACAAGTCTATTTATGTCATGCCTAATTATTAATATCAATTATTTACCATGAAATAACATTGTTTTAGATTCCCTGGAGGATGTCTGTTAAAAAGAAAAACTGAAGAAACTTTAAAACTAAATGATGCCAACTAAAGAAGTTCGAGGCTTATCGAGGCATATCGAGGCTTCAGTTCTCCAGTATTTATTATTAAATTTTATTATATATGTTATGATTATTTTATTTTTTATATTGTTATTTTTGTAACAACAAACTATGTGAATAATTAATTGTCCTGCCCTGGGCCTCTACTTTAATCTGACTATTATTATAACACATATATCGATTTATATATTGTATTGAGTTAGCTTGTGATTTGTACGTGTGTTTTTGTTTGCCTAGTGTTTGTTAGTTATATGCAAGATATGGCATGGTATGGCACGCTGCATGGTATGCCCTAAATAATATTATCAATAAATATTTTTATCTATACTTTGTAAATATATATGCTATACTTTATTATATTATACAAATGTTTATTTTTAACTTATAAAATTAGTGTAAAAGTGGATGAAAGCACTTAAGAAAACTATAACGATAAACTTTAAAGCAGAATTTTGTCATACGATTATGATGGCGATATGAGAGAACTACTGTGGCAGAATATTACTATTGTAGAACAGTTTTGCATCGAATCGTTGTATAATATTAGTTTTTTCTTGCTTAAAAATATTATGAAATTCAAATCAGTTTTTTCAATTGATTCGTAAAAATTTTGCCAGACCAAATATTCATTTACCTAATACATTTAAAAAAAAACTAAAAAGTTGAGAAAACCCGCGTTAAATGAAAAAAATATCTGGGTTCAATATGGGATTTTCCGTCAAAAACCCAGACTTTTCCCAGTTAGATCCCACTGACAGAATCGCAATGGGACCCATGTAGAATACCCAGATTGGTCCCAGCTTTTTCCCCAGTTGGGTCCCAGCTGAAACCCAGTGGGAATGGTTAACTGGGTATGTGCATTATCTTGCATTTATCACTATTAAAGCTTGTTTGCCATTTAGTCGACCAATCGAAGAGATGATCCAATTCATCTTGAAAGGAAATATTATGCGAATTTATTTTTGCTATCACTTTTATGTCATCTGCATATAATTTAGCTTTTTTATTTAAACCCTGTGTTAGATCATTGATGAAAATTACAAAAAATAAAGGACCAAGAACTGATCCTTGCGGTACTCCACTTTTTAGAGTTTCCCATTCTGATACAAATTTCCCTAGAACTACTCTTTGTTTTCTGTTATTCAAAAACGACACAGACCAATTAAGTAATAACCCCTTTATACAAATTGACTCCAATTTGAGAATTATTCTATGTGCAACCGAGTAAAAAGCTTTTGCGAAACCTAAAAAGGTAATATCAGCGCAGGTACCCCTTTCTTTAAGATCAGTAAGCATATCTAAGGTTTCTAGCAGGTTTGTAATGCAGCTTTCAGTTTTTATAAAACTATCTTGGTCTTTGGTTATTAAATTGTTATCAACAAGATGTTTCATTATTGTATCTCTGACAAAACTTTTCATTAGCTTGCATACTATTGAGGTTTAAGAACCTGTTTAAATAGTTTGCTATACACTGTACATCATTAGAAAACTCATTTTTATCGGTAATAAGTGACCTTGTATGGTCTTACCTTCTCTTACCTTATCTTTTACCTTATATTTAATGAACTCCATGTCCAAAATGTATATAAACTAAACCTCTATCATGTTCTTATATTCATGTTCAAACTTGATAAAAATATATTACAAATCTTATTTTATTCGATTTTTAAAAAAATAAATCACATATGCCCTATTAGGTTTTCAAAATACAATTACATTCAATCCAAAGTTTATTCTTCTTCTACTTAATTCTCTAATATAAACCGAGGACCAAAGATGTAGAGCATAATATCAAATAATGAGTTGAAAACTAATTATTTTCTAAACTAATTCAAAATAAAGCTTAGGCAATTACTTTCGTTAAATGAAAATGTATTGAATTTCTGCTGATAAAACCTCTCTAATTTAGAAATCAATTATAATAGTAGTTAATTAATTAGGTAATTACTGTAGGTTATCAATGTATTATTAATCTAACTTTTGTTTTATTTTGTGGCTTGTTCCTAACTCTATGAAACTGTATCAGTAACTCCATTTTTAAGACTTAGTACTTTTTTCTGTGAGGCGCCTTATATGTGCATTAGGTATATGATAAATTTTAAATCAATTAGCCTGGGGTTCTAAATAATAAACTTTTGCCTATAAATCACAGAAATGACATTGATTTCACCATACCTTAAAAAAAATTCCCGCACCTAAGACAGTTTCATATTTAACCATACAACACATAGCAGCCCAAAGGCTATTAATTATAATATGTCAACTTTATATACAATACACATGAAAAATACATGAGAAATACACTGTCCTACAGCATTTGTAGTGATGTTAATAATCTTTCAGATTTGTCTATTAGTATTAATAAATTTACAGTTAAGATATTTGTTTGTTCTGCAAGAAGAACGAATGTCCCCCATCAACTTTACAGCTCCCTCGGCTACTATGTTGACTCGAAGCACATAAAGCACTGATGGTTCCTTCTTTCAGTGGGTAGAGAAGCATTTCACAGCTTTGGAATACTTAAGTTGGGATATTGCTGACAGCAGGTCTTCAAAAGCCGCCTCTGCGTAGTGCTGGTTTGAAAACCAGGCCCGCGACCATGTAGTTGCAACGAAATCGCAAGTTATCCTCAGCTGTTCTCGCCAGTTTGGAAGAATAAAAAATGCAATAAGCGCAAAAATGCCTCTTAAGTTCCACCTGGCACTGTGCAGTGATGGCAGCTTGTGCCATTTGATACGAGGCCATTTTTCCTCATTTTTGTAAAACTTGTATGCTTCACAAAGCTGAAAAAGAAATATAAAGTCATCTCTCCAGCCAAGGTTCTCATATTCTGCTACCACTCCTGTGCCCTTGTAGGCATTTTTTAAATCATCGTAATGCTAATCTCATCAATAAATTTGTAGTTAATGTTAGGCGACTGTGACTGTATAGAAAAAAAGAAGTCCAACACATGTCGTAGAACAAGATCAAGAATGTGGTGTTGGCAGCCGATGTATTGAGGTTCATCGAATCCTTTGTCTCGAAATGTTTTCTGAAACTTGACCACAATTCCATTCTTGCGACCAGTATTTACAGCTGTTGTGTCAGAGATGATCATCTGAACTGTTCCATGCATTGTAATCATCAAGTAGGTCCTGTAGTGGTTTATATAAGCTTGCAGATGATCCACTGTCACAAACCAAAATGCCAAGTTGTATTGTTCTTTTGTCATTTTTTAAGCACATAACTTGGTACTCAGTCTTGTCAATTTTCTTACCATCAAAATGCATAAAAAATTTCTCTTCAGAGATCAGTTCCATGAGGCGGTTCTTAACTTGTTCTGCATCTTTGATTGTTCGACGCCAGACTCCAGACTGTGATGGTGTTGGGACACAAACTCCATCCTCAGCCAGACTTTAAAGCATCCGTGACGTTTTTCTGGTTGACAAAGAGTGACTAGACACTAGTTTGGCAGCAGACTTAGTTGAATGGCGTGTTGCACGCTTTCCGCGAGATTATCATGGAACTACCTCCGAGTCACCACTGCTGCTTCCTTCTTCAGAATCCTCACTATCGCAGGAAAGTGTTACGGAGATAACCGCTTGGTTTGTCGAGGGTTCTGATGTGCTTTTAGCCCTTTGATGGATGGATTGTTGACATAGGAGCCACTTTCATAGTTGTATATCCCACCCTGCCATCTGATTCAATTTGAACTTTGTACGGTTGTTTGTCCTCACTACAAAGCTAATTTCCATCTGGTTTTGTTATGTCGAACAGATGAGCAATATTTTCTTCAAATACTGCATTTGGTCGCTTTCGATGTGATAAGTTTGTAAATATTAGCAGAAACTTGTTGTTTGGAAAGAACAGGAAAATTAAACTTCTGCCAAAGATTCATCAATTCCTCGGATATTTTTGTTAGTCTATCATGTCGTCTTTTCAATTCATAACAGAGTCCCAAGAATCTTCTAACGATATCTCTGTTGGAAGGCATTTTACACAATTTGTTGCTGATATCCTGTTTTACCTGAGGTATATTAGGACGGTGCTTCGTGCTTGATTTCAAATTTTGTATCCATATTTCACCAGCTAATTCCACTGCTGATTTTGACTTTTTACTTTTAAAGGACATATTTTCAAAAAGAAGCACTAAATAGCAGATCTTGCAAATTAATACTGCAAATGATGAAAAAACTTTTTAAATACATTTTAAATTTCATTCTATGTTAACTTTTTAAACTGTTTGACGCTCTTCAACTTGTAATTATATTCAAGCATAGTCAAGCATAGTCATGCATAAGGAAGTAAGAGCTAGGAACAAAATCAAGTGAAAATCGAAAAAGTTAAAAGTGGTGAGGTGCTAGGTGCGGGAAGTTTTTTTGGTGATCCAATAAAATAAACCTCAAAACAGTGATCTATTGGTAAAAGTTCATCAAATGCAACATCAGTAAAATTAAAATTTTGAAAAAAGTTTTTTTGTCATTTACCTAATGTGCATATACTTTATTATTTTAAATGATAATCTTCTTTTTGAAAAAATTATTTTGATTTTTGAGTTGTTTATTAATCATTTACTTTAATTTGTTACTGTTTATTTGCTTTTACTGAAATGGCGATAAAAAGTATTATAAATTTAATTAAATAAGTTAAACTATAAAAATACAATACTGATTTATTACGCACGTGAAGTTAAATGTTTAAAAAAATAAAAGATAAATCAAGATTAGAAGAGATAGTCAAACCGCGTACGTACCCACTAAGCCGGTGAATAAAAAAAACCTTTTTCTCATTAATTGGTCAGCTTTACGTAAATAAAAACTTAGGAAATTTTCCTTAGGTTTTTATTCACGTAAAGCTAAGAAATTACTTAGTAAAGTGGTTAACTTTACCTGAATAAAAATTTGAGCAAAAGTTGCTGAAGTTTTTATTGATGTATAGCTGACTAAATACCAAGTAAAAGCAATGGTTTTTTTTTTGGTCGGATGTTATTATACATGGCAATAAACGGATGTTATGGCAATAACATCCGTTTTTGCCATGTATAATAACATCCGTGAAACAACATCCCAAATTTCATTGATGTATAATAACATCCGTGCAATAACATCCCAAATTTCATTGATGTATAATAACATCCGTGCCATAAAAAATCTATAATAATACATTATATAACCAGATGTAGTTACAAGTTTAATTTTTTTCGCATGTAACTACATCTGAAATGTTGTTTCGGATGTAGCTACATCCGAAAAATAATTTATTTATAAAAATTAATTATTTGAATTGTGATTTTAAAACTGATTGCTTTAAAAATCGTAAAAGTAGACTGTTTGTTTGCAAAAATATAATAATATTTAAAATACAATCAATATAGATAGTTTTC